GAAATATCAGTAAGAGTATAGGAAAGTTGTAGAGACTGCCTGGGAAGGCACATGGGCATTTCTTTAATTATTGTCAGCTGAATCCAGTGGCATTGGCACAGCCACATCCTGGAAACACACCTTGCCAGAGACAGGAATGTTGTCAGCTTGACCTTCAGCCCAGGTGCCAGGGGGTGGGTTTCGTTACCTAAATCCAGCCAAGCAGCAGGAATGAATACGACTCAGGCCCACCCAAGAATGCACATAATCTCCTTTGTCTTGACCTTTAGTTATAAATTCCTGGTTTTTGCTGCATAAAAAACACACGCTGTATTGGCTCTAGGTCCTTGTCTCTCCATCAGAGGACAGTGGTCCCACCCAGCCCCAGTTTTTTCCTTCCATCTTTGTGTCTGTCTCTTTCTTTCATTTTCTCAATCCCTGGCAGCCCCTACTCATGAATCGGACCGCTCTCTAGCTGTGCTGGACATGGAAAAGAGAAATATTTACAGAAAGTGAAATAGCAAAGGGAAGACAGACAAAAATGGTGCACTATTACCCTAGCTGGTTTGGCTCAGTGGATAGGACTGAAGGGTCTTGGGTTCGATTCCACTCAAGAGCACATGCCTGGATTGTGGGCCTGATCCCCAGTAGGGGGTGTGCAGGAGGCAGCGATCAATGATTCTCTCTCATCATTGATGCTTCTCTCTCTCCCTCTCCCTTCATCTCTGAAATCAATAAAAATATATATATATTTTTTTTAAACGGTGCACTATCAAACATGTCACTGCAAGGGGTGATTACACCTGCATCTTCCTGAAGAACATTAGGAAACGACGTGGAACACATGCCTTGGACTGACCTAATCCACCAAAGGGACAAAAGGCCTGGGTTGTTTAAACACCAGCTCCATCCATCCATGACTGGGGGCTCCTTCCGGAGGCTGTGAAGTCCCTGGCTCTCCTGGCATGCCATATAAGAGAGCAGAATTGCCATAGTGGCTAGAGATACAGGAGCTGCCATTGGAAGTCAAGCTAGTGTGCACTGAAATGGTGAGGGAATGGAGAGTGCTGGCAAGGTAGTATCTGCTACAGGTGGCTGTGGTTCACCACAAGCTCAGGTCACTGGAACTAGCAGAATGAGTCAAAAATTTGATAAATACATTCCAAAACAGGAAGCAGCCTACCACCTTGTATGACTCATCATGTGAACAAGTCAAATAGGCAATGTTTTTTAAATGCTCACTAAGACACACAAACCAAACAAAAGCTAAAACAACAAAAGCCTCTCTTATCGTGGGAAATATGACTGCTCTGGGGACTTAAGGAGAGGCTTCAGTGAGACGGGTTTGTTAGAGAGAGGAGCAAGGAGATCAAGAAAAGGGGAAAAGGAATTTAAAGTAATATTGGTAGAGACAGTATGTTGTTCATTTCATGATATTGAATAAACACAAGTAAAGAGCTTGGGATTTTTGAGAAATGAGCATTGAGTGCATTGAGCATAAGACCTAGAGGATGGTTTTTGAAAGACCTCTGTGGATTGTGTCATGATAACACTTCATAGCAAGTAGCTTCACTTGAAATTACAATCACTGTTTATTTGCCTTTCAGTTTATCACCTGTCTTCTCCAAATAAAATGTAAGCTCCATTGAGGCAAGAACTTTTTGTCTTATTCGAAAATAGTAAGTGAATGACTCTTTTATGGCCACAAAAAACGAACAGTAGTAGGAAAGCCTGACATTTGTACCACCCATTCCATTCAGCTAAGCCATAAAGTAAAGAGATAAAAATAACCTCCCATTATCATCACAAAGCTCGGGACCTTCCTGATGTGTGGAAAGCCTTATGGTCACATACTCTTCTGCTTTAGTCACAGACTCCCAACAGCATCCTCTTCAAGCACATGGGGCCTACTTTACCATGGAAACAGGATTTCAACACTAGAATGGCCTTACAGGTCAAAGAGTCCAATCCTCTGCATAATTCCTCTCTGGTGTGGATTACAGGTCATAATCCACACCTTCAGAAAAGAATCCTGGGGCATTTACTTAACTAGAAAAAAAACACATTTAATGTGAAAATATTATATTAGAAAAAAGAAAAGTGAGGCATTATTTTTGCAGTTCAAGGTATAAAAAGGTTGAGAAACTCAGCTGTACCCAAAAGCTCCAACCTCCTTCACAAGTTTCCCAGCCCATAATCATTCAGCTTTTGGGCTGTTATGGGAGAATTCTAGTTGCTAGTAAGTGCCATTTCACAATGTAATGAAACGTTTCTAAATGTTTCTCCTGTCCTTTTCTTTATTCTCTCATCTTATTTATCCCTTTGTTGTTCTGTGTTAAATGTAGCCTTTAGCTGGATTTGTTCATCAGATATTTAGAGATCGGTCTATTCCCTATAGTTAGTGAGCATATGCACGCTGTCTTCTTTTAACTATGTCTCATAAATAATCACACTTAATCCTTCTTACTGCCATCTTTTGCAATCATCTTCCAGTTACCTAGAACATAAGGTGTATAAAACTAAGCTCAGTGTCCAAGCTGTGATCTCACTAGGGTGGCTCAGAGATAAGCTATGCTTTTTCATCACTCTCTTTCAAGAAATTATGCCTCTAAATACAAGGCCCTGGTTTCACTGCAGTTTTAAAGGCATTTCATTATTCTAGAGGAAAATAACCATTAAAAGCATTTCCTAAAAATTAAAGAATATATTTCTTTAGTAGAGGACTTAGTGCAGAATGGGATGCAATTTCAATTCAGCTCAGTTTTTCATGTATTGAAGGTTACTCTGGGCCAGCCACTGTGCTAGTGGCTGGGATTCACCGATGAATCAGACACAATCCCTGGTATGATTGTACTGTCATGGAGACCATAAACAAGTAAAAAAGTGAACAAATCAATGTGATGCCATAGAAGTCAATAACCGAATGAGGTGATTTTACCTACAGTGAAGGAAAAAGGGAGTTCTAGGCAGAGGTAACAGCACCCAGCAAGTGCCAGAGCCCAGACAAGGTAGAGTCATCAGTCCACAACCTAGAGCGCAGTAGGTTGGTGGTGAAAGAGGCTGGAAGTGTCCCAA